GGGGCAAATGCTGCCAATGTGCAGTGGCGAAATACCACTGTGTGAAGTCTTTCTGCTGAAAGTAAGTGGGAGTTCATTCAGTTATCAGACTCTCCTAGGGCCTTAATGCAACTAAATATAATCTTGTATATGCAAGAGATGCCTTTGGTTTGTTGGGATAGAGTCAAACTCAAATGTTTATTTGTTTACTTGATATGTTAATGTACAGAACCAAACCGCATTTGTGATAATGTATATATACAAAGAGACTTTTTATGAATAGAAAATATTTTTAAAATTAAAAATAAAGAGGCAAAAAGACCTGCATTGGATGTTAGTGGGACTCGTGGTGCAGAAAGTATAAGATTTTTTGAGGCTATGCTTAATTAGGGGTAATAGTAAAATGAAAGAAAGGGTCTATATTCTTTTGAGATAAGGTATGTCTGGGAAAAGCCCAATCTGTGATTTACACATCCTGAACTATGTGGAAAATCCTAGATATTTCTGATAGTCTGGATGATAAGGTGAGCAGGAGGTGCCTCCAGTTGGAGTTCTGGATTTTGGAGATTGAGTGGCAGCCTGGGCATACCATGGTGCAACCACCCTCACCCACCTCCACCTCCACAACAGCCCACTGAGACATAAGAAGGGGACCAGACAGGTAGCAAGGAGATCCCCTGAGTGCAGCTTGCTCACAGAATATTTCTTGGCCTCAGAAAATGGTGATAGTGACAATTTCTATGTGGAGCCCACTTGGAGCCAAGACCATGTTACTGTGGGTGGCCCAGCTGCTCAAGGTAGGGATGGGTAAGTATTGAAGGGGATTTGTCAGTGAGGCGAAAAGACAGGTGCTTTTGCCACTATAGCCGTGACTCCATGAAGGTACGCAGCCTCCCTTGACGTCAAGGCTGCAAGGTATTCTGCACAAGGAGGGTGAACAGCCAGAGACTGTGGTCAACGGTTGGACCAATGACAGAGGACGAAAGAGAATTGTGGCTCTGAAAGTAGAATTAGGGGGCTGGGTAGGAAATTCAATAGCAGGACTTCAAAGGTAGTAACATTCGGATTACTCCCAGTGCCATGCAGTAATAAGTGTAGGAATAGAAGGACAGAGCACATGAATATGCGTCAGGAGAGATAGTGCAGGAAGGAGGGGTTTACACTCTGAGCCTTAGTGGGGAATATGGGACCTATACAGGGTGGTCAGGTTATATATAAACAGGAATGGGAACAATATTCATATGGGGAGGTTTGCTAATGCTGTTGGGGTGTATTTAAACGGCAGGATAATGGAATCCTGACAAGTACTGCAGCGGGGTCAAAGGCTGTGATGGAATTAGAAGTTAGAATGCAAGTAAGTGAGTCTGGAAGGCAGAGGAAACATAGGCTAGATAAAGAAAGAAGTGAGTTAAGCATGATTAAATGGAGTGTATTTTAATTCAAGGAGCATGAGGAATTACACAGATAGGCACAAGAATGTTTGATATCCTAGCTATGATGAGACTTCCAAAAAGACGGCAAGATTGGTAGCTCAACTTTCCTGGTTATAAGGTAATCACACAAGATAAAGAGAGGTTATTGAAGGATGAGGGAGGGTCACAATATAGATCGAGGGATCAATTATAGCAGCAAGGAGGGATGATAGTGAGGAAAGATCATCAAATGACACCATGTGGGTAGAAGTTAAAAAAACACAGAAGGGCCAAAAGCACAGTAAGGGAGAAATGGAAGATCAGATATCTATAATCAAAACTCAGTGAAGAAGTGTAAGAATAATAAGCCGGTAGGGTAAGGGATTTTAACTACCTAAATATTAGCAGGGATCGTTTTAGTGTACAAGAGTAGAAAGGGAACATCATTCTTAAATTGCACTGAGGAGAATGTTTTAGTCAGTGCATAGAAAGCCCAACAAGTGAGAGGGCTGTTATTAATTTAATGCTTCGAAATGACCTTATAAAATATTAGAATTTTGATAGTTGTGGGAAAGGATAAAGGACAAGGTGCTTTTTCAGAATAGAGATCAGTAATTAGTGGTGTTCCACAATAATTGGTGCTGCGACCTTTGTTGTTTGTAATATATATCAATGATCTGGAGGAAGATGCAGGTGATCTGAGTAGTAAGTTTGCTGACAACACCAAAACTGATGGATTTGCAGATAGTGAGGAGGATTGTCAAAAGATACAGTGGGATATAGATAAGTTGCAGGTTTGGGCAGGGAAATAGCAGCTGCAGTTTAACCTGGAAAAAATGTGAGGGTGATGCATTTTGGAAGATCAAATTCTTGTGCAAATTATGCAACAAGTGGCAGAAACCTTAGGAGCAAAAACAGAAATTGCTGAAAAAGCTCAGCAGGTCTGGCAGCATCTGTGGAGAGAAACCAGAGTTAATGTTTCGGGTCGAGTGACCCTTCCTCAGAACTCAGTTCTGATCTGAAATGTTAACTATGATTTCTCTCCACAGATGCTGCCAGACCTGCTCAGCTGTCCAGCAATTTCTATTATTGTTTGATTTACAGCATCTGCAGTTCTTTCAGTTTTTATTTAGAAACATTAGGATTATTGATATACACAGGGATCTGGATATGCAGGTCCTCAGATCCCTGAAAGTGGCAACACAGGTGGATAAGGTGGTCAAGAAGGAAAATGGCATACTTGCCTTCATCATCATCAAGCCATCAAATATAAAAGTTGGCAAGTTATGTTACAGCTGTACAAAACTTTAATTAGGCCACGTTTAGAATATTGTGTGCAGTTATGGTCACCACACTATCGGAAGGATATGGATGCTTTGGATTGGGTGCGGAGAAGGTTAACCAGGATGTTAGTTATGAGGAGACATTGGATAAGCTTAGATTGTTTTCACTGGAAAGATGGAAACCGAGGGGAGATCTAATTGAGGCCTACAAAATTATGAGAGGCATAGATAGGGTGGATAGAAAGAGGCTTTTTACGAGGGTGGAAAAGTCAACTTCAAGAGGGCACAGGTTCAAAGTGCGAGGGTGAAAGTTTAGGGGGGGGAAGAGCAATGAAAGTGTTTTCGCACAGAGGGTGGTAGGAGCCGGGAATGCACTGCCAGTGGAGGTGGTGGAAGCAAGCAGGTTAGCAACATTGAAGGCATATCTTGATAGATGCATAAATGGAGTCAAACAGAGGGATAGAAACCACATATGGGCAATATGTAGTGGGTCTAAATAAGGGACAGGAATTGGCGCAGCTTGGTGGGCCAAAGGGCCTGTTCCTGTGCTGTATTGTCAAGGATGGGTCAAGAGTAAAAGTTCTAAACTGGGAAAAGGCTAATTTTATTAAGATACAATTTGGTCCAAGTGGACTAAGAGCAGTCAGTGCAGATAAACTGTGTCATACAAACAGAAAATTAGTGCAGAGACATAGGCCATTTGGCTCTTTGATTCTGCTCTGCCATTCAATTTGATCATGGCAGATCATCCAATCCATTACCCTGTTCCCACTTTCTCCCCACACCCTTTGATCCCTTTAACGCTAAGGACTGTATCTAACTCCTTCTTGAAAACATTCAGTGTCTTAGCGTCAACCACTTTCCATGGAAGAGAATTCTATAGGCTCACCTATCTCAGTCAGAGCAGTGGGACACATTCAAACTAGGAAAAAGCAAGACTACACAGCTAATATTTTCTCATAAAGACAAAGGAGGGACCAAGAGTGGAGAACCGTGGATGCCAAGGAGCATGAAGTATGGGATTAAAAACCTAAAGGAAATTCTGAAAGCAAAGAATGTACATGAGAAAACATTAGTGGGCAGAATAAGGAAAAACCCAAAGGGATTTAAGAAAAATATATAAAGAGCAAGAGAATAATGAGAGAAAAAGTAGGGCCCATTGGGAACCATAGAAAGGTAATCTACTGTGAACTGGAAGATGTGAGCACAGTCCTTAGTGAGTACTTTATGTTGGTCTTCACAATAAAAAGTAAATGCAAATATACACATCAGAGTGGTAGACTGTGAAATATAAGTTAACAGAGAAAGAAGTACCAATGTGTTTAGCAGCCTCAAAAGTGGATAAATCTATGGGGCTGGATGAAATGTATCCCACACTTTTGACGGAGGCGAGGAAGGAGATATCAGGGGCCTCAGCAGTAATTTTAATTATAATTTCAACTTAGATGTATGGGGTTTGATGATGAAGTCTGCAGATGATACGGAAATTGGTTGGGTAAGAAGGAATGAGCAGAATAGCTGTTAACCATACATTTATGCAGTATTTGGATGTTCACTTAATTTGCTGTAACTTTCAAGGTTATGAGCCAAAAGCTGGAAAATGGCATCAGTTTATTCAGAGATAACAAAGTGCTATCTTTCTGAAGAAGTGTCCCGACCCGAAACGTCAGCTTTCCTGTTGCTCTGATGCTGCCAGGCCTGCTGTGTTCCTCCGCTTTGCTATGTCTGACTCCAGCATCTGCAGTTCTTGCTATCTCAGTGATTTATATCAGTCTATTCAGATCCTTGTTGACTGGCATTGACATGATGGGCCAAATGACCTCATTCTGCGCTGTAAATGTCTTTGTGTTATATGTGGATCAAGTCCAATCAAAAATATATGTGAGATCTTTTTAAAAAGCGTTCCTTACAAAAGAAACTCGTGACTAATGCGCTATTGTTTCTAGAGAACAATGACATCATTCCCCTAAACACAGATCTCTAATTGTATCAACATGCAACCTTATGCTCAATAAGGGCACCTGAGATATCTTCAGAGTGATGTAAACACAGGCTGAACACATATAGGTTTTGTGACCCAGCTACAACACCCCATGATCGATGGGAGTCAGTAGTGGACAGTCATGTTTGACACAATCACTGCAATGCCATATCACTTCACAAGATTAATTTCAGCAGAAATATTGTTTAGGTGTATAAACAGGTTGGCAAAGTTATGATTAAGAGCAGGATTTATGTTGTGGAAGTCATCCATATGTGTTGACTTGCACATTTTCTTGCATAATTTAACACAGGAGGAAGACAGATACATTTCTGCGATGCTTACCTGATACTTGTATTTCTGAGGTCCGTTCTGCACTGTCGGGTGTTATGAACACAGTGCAAGTGTAATTTCCTTCATCTGCAATCTGTACTCGTGGAAGGAAAAGTGAGGCATCTCCCTTCAGTAGATTGCGATCATTAATTAATGCTCCTGGTCGCTTTGCATTATGTTGATCTCTCGCGAAAGAACACACATCTGTTTCTCCATTGAGCTTCCATTGAATTCCTACCCTTTCTGGGTCAATGGGACCACCAGTATAGCCTGTTACCTTGCATGTCAGGTGAATATTTTCATTTAATGATACTATCAGTGGGCTTTGAAATATCTCGAGATCCATTGTGTCTTTAAGAGAAGAAAAAATATTATGGAATCATCTCACATATACTACCACAATGTCTTAATAACGACTCACGTGTATTTCTTTAAAGTTTAAAATAACAATTTACATCACTCTGCCATGTTGAATTTAAAGCAATTGTTGTGGAAATTCTAAAGCTTTCGCAGCAAGATTTTCTGAGGCCAGAACAGATCAGCAAGTGTGCTACATAAAACAACTTCATTGGTCCAGGTTTTCTGAGGGGTAGTGAATCTGAGGAATTCTTTCCTGCAGTGTGCTGTCAAGGCTGAGTTTGTTGGCAGAATTTTAATCTGAAAGGGAGGCCTTGCTAAAACTACACAAGACGCATGAAATACTATAAACAGTTCTGCTCCCTTTATCCACAGAAACATATACTGGCATAGGAGGCAGTCCAGAGAAGGTTCACGAGTTTGATTCCCTGGTGTGAAGGGATTTTTCTATGAGGAAAGGTCGGGTAGGTTGGGACTGGGCTCATTACAGTGTAGAAAAATAAGAGGAGACTATATTGAAACATACAAGGTTCTTGGGGGGGGCCTAACAGAGGAGATGCTGAGAGGTTGTTTTCCCCAGTCAGAGAGTCTAGGACCAGAGGACAAAATTTAAGCGTAAGAGGTTTGCCTTTTAAAGCAGATGAAGGGGATATTTTTCTGTTAAAATGTAATCAATCTGTGGAACTTTTTATTGTAGACTGCTGTTGAAATTGGGTCATTGAGCATATTCAAACCTGAGGCACAGATTTTTAATCAGTGAGGGAATCAATGATTACGGATTAAGGCAGAAATGTGGAGTTGAGGATTATCAAATGAGCCATGATGTTATTGAATGGTGGAGAAGACATGATGGGATGAATGGCCAACTTCTGTTCGTATGTCTAATAGTCCCATAGATAGCCAGATAAGCATTTTGCAGCACTGATGAGAGTTGTATAGGGGGACCCTGTGGAATCCCCATTGGAGGAGACTCCAAAAGGAATTGTTGAGGAAATTGAGGATCCGGCTGGCCAATCTCCCTACACTTGGAACCTCAGAAAGTATTCATTTAAATCAGAGAATTTGGAAAGTTGTGCTGAAGTCAAGTAAATATTACCGAAGAAATGTTAGACTATTCAATACATAGCCTGAGTAACTATTAATCAGACCCTCAATTTATCTCAAACATTCCCAACTGAACCTCCGTCTGACGCTATATTTCCCCAAACCAGATGGCTCCTTTCCCTCTGAGGTTTGACCACCACTTCCTCCACCTGTGGACCCGATAAACACCAATCTCACCCCGCCACCCCCTCCTCCAACCCCTCTCTGGACTAGCCACTCCTGCCCTGTCATCAAATCTGACTCCTACTTGGCCCTCTCAGGACTACCCCTTACTTCTGACAGAGTCAATACTCTCCTTCCCCCACAGCTGGACCTGAACCACTTGTATCAACATCTAATCCCCCTAACTCAGGACCTGATACCCCTTCCCCGAGACTACACCTGACTGCACCATTTACCATTTTGCAGTTGTTCACAGCTTAACAAAATGTTATTTTTTTGCATAATATAAATAGAGGACTCTCAACTTTGCTCCCTGAATGGCTGCCTGTGAGAGCAAAATTCTGCTGTATGAAGAAAGCATGTTTATTTTAAACAGGAAGGCACCACTTGGTTGTATTACTGTTTTTATGTAAGTGCCAGTTAACCAGAGTCCATTAAGGTGCAAAACCAGGAAACTCACATTGGAGGTGCTACTGACTCAGGTACTCAAATTAACAACTAGGCATTTCATAGACAAGTTGTGGTCAAATACCAGAAGGTGATAGAAGCTCTTTAAAAGATGTACTAACAGAAGAGATCACTTCCATGGGAGTTTTCTTATTTGGTGATCCAATGCATATAAAGCAACATGTAGACACATGACCTTTGATTTTATCTCTTATTGGAAATATAATTTATAACATGCTTTTATTACATTGAGATTCTGATGTAGTCATAACCTTTAGTATGTTGCTTAACATTTGCTTTTGCTGTTATTTCTTACATCATTGTAATCAAACACAGTTTTTGGAAAACTGATTAGAATCTCATGAGAATTTCAAAGAACTTGCACAAGTGTAAAATGAAATTCACAACTTATTAAAATTTAGTTTTCACATGTCTGGTGTCCTTTGTACATGGCAACTCTCCATACAATTCAAAGGCATATTTCTAGTCACCTTTGCTCTCCTCAGCTCTACCTGATTGTTCTTTTATTGCAGTTAAATGCTCACCTCTAATCTGTCTCTAATCTGGAGTGTATTTAAATTCTCTCTCTCCCTCACTATCCTATCACCTCATTTGAATATTGCCTTCTACACATAGTAGTAACAAAACTAGAATCAATGTAGAGTCCATTCCAGACCAATACATATTGCCATCTTCAATCTACAATCTAAAACTGTTGAATATGTTTTTCCTGGTCAGTGATAGAAGCAATGAGAAACTGAACGTAGCCTCAAATTCAAAATTGTTCTCAGAGTTCATCAACCAGCTTCACATAGCTTACTCTGGCAAAGACAACAGCTCAAGTTGCAGTTAGAAGCCACCACATAGTTTTACTTAATCATTTCCCAGCAATGTAGAAGGTTTTAATTTTTTTTAACGAGTTTATTTAGAAGTAGCAAAGAGCAGAAATAACTCTGCCAAAAAACTATTATGTAGGTGTATTCCTGACCTGATTGTTTACCTGATTACAAAGCAAAGGTATTTCTATTTTCAAAATAAAATTAACTGCAGGATCTACTAAATTATCTTTCTGCAAGACTCACTGAAATTGTAAGCTTACAATTATTAGCATAATAGGTTTAAGGTGAGAGGGGAAAGATTTAAAAAGAAGCTGGCAGGTAACCTTTTCACTCAGAGGGTTGTGTGTCTATGGAACGAGCTGCCAGATGAAGTGGTCGAGGTGGGTACAATGACAACGTTTAAAAAGCATCTGGATGGATATATGAATAGAAAGGGTTTAGTGGATACGGACCAAATACTGGTAAATGGGATTTCTGGTCAGCATGGAAAAATAGGACAAAGGATCTGTTTCCATGCTGTATGACTCAATGATTCCATAAATACTGGAAAGTTCAAAAACTGCATCTAATAAAATTATGCTAATGTTTAATTTCAAAGTATGACCTTTACTAGTAATTCAGCATTTCCTTTCCATAATGGTCCTGGCTGGTATTTTGTGGAAACAGGAATAAACCAAGCTGTGAATCCAGTTGTTGGTATGTACAATCCTGCCACACTTTCTGTTCAAAATACAATGTAATAGTTACTACAGTCCATTTGTGTCTTTTTCGTGCAACGGAGAGTGGATTTTACAATTAAGCTGAAAAAGCTGGAGATACTCATCAGATAATGAGAAATAGAGTTAACAACAAAACCAAATACACAGTCTCCACCCTACTTTCCCCAAGGATTTGATTCAATTCTCCTAGTTTCTTCAACTCTCCAGCATCTGTTCTAATAATACCTTGTTCCATTGCCTCAATATGCATCCATTTTTCCTCAACCAAAGTATTCATTCAATTTTCTACACTCAGCTCCCGCTTGCATTTCCCATCGGAATCACAATAGGACTCCCCTGTTCCTACACTGCAACCCACCAGACTTCATGTTGAACAAATTATCCTATATCTGTTTCACCACATCTTGTATAATACCATCATTACACAGACCTTCCCTTCTCCGCTCCTTTTAATATTCCCTACGGTTTCTTCCCTGGGGAGGAATGTGCAGTGGGGCAAAAATACAGGAAAATAGTTTACTTGTACTACTTCCAATTTAATTACTGTAGTTACTAACGTAATTCAGTGTAAGACAGAGAGAAATCACTTCAACCTTTTGATAAGACACTTTAAATCTTCTGGATTCAACACTGAATTCAGTAATTGTCTCCACTTTTCAAAGAATAGCCATTGGTGATGATTTTGCTATTCCCATTTACACATTTTCTACACCTACTTATTTAATGCCTTGTCCGATAATCATTTTCTTCTGTGTTTCTGCACTACGAACCCTTTAATCTTTAAATCAATCTTTCCACAGTGTCAGTGACTTACACTGTGGTTTCTCTATTACAATTTCTCCCCGATTCCCTGCCTACATATTTGCTTAAAATCGGTTACATTGCTCATTTTTTCACAGTCAATCTGAAAACATAACTATGCTTCTTTATCCTACTGATGCTGCCACTTTGGAATTGCATCAATTTTATGTTTTTACTTGCGAGTGTTGACTGCAACGGAAGCAAATACTCTCCAGTCATTTTTATTACCAAAGACATACCATCATTGTAGAAATGCTAAAATAAACTTAGATCAGTAATACTTCACCTGATGTTGAAATGAATGATATAATACTGCAAAGAGTCCAAATTTTCATCTTCATTTTGAGAACTTAAAGCTTCGAAAGCATTTTCCAACAACAATACCCATGAACTACTGAGCACTTGCTGCCGAACAGATATTTTACTTTCGTCGTTATTCATCCAATGCGTCGTTATCTGATAATAAAATTTGTTTCCGGGCAAAATTCGAGCATAACCAATTAATCATTCACTTATACTTAAAGGAGCAGCATTTAAATTTAAAAAGAAGATGGGAAGCAAGACCATTTTTTCAAACTTACAGTGTGTGAAAAGTAATTTACTTTAAGTCATACACCATTTACCATTTTGCTGTAGTTCACAGCTTAACAAAATGTTACTTTTTCCATACTATATCGCTTCTCGACCTTTTGGCTACGATCTAGTGTCGAGTTGTGAGTCATAAGAGCTATTGAGATCGTCGCTGGATCGTGATTGGACGTTAGAGGATCTGTTGGCTGAGCTGACGTACTATTGGTGGATCGTTATGCTGGTTTCAGTCGAACGCCAATTCAGGAAAAGGCCAACCTAGAGCTATGGCTTCAGCAAGCATCCACACCCCAGGCCAAGAGATCCAGAACCCAGTCAGGGTGGCTATG